TAATAAAATACATAATGCGGTTATAATAAAATATTAACTTTAAGTAATTCAAAGTACTTTAAAATATGAAAATAATCGAGCAATATGTATTTATATTTTAGAAAATACGCCACTGCCAGGTAATGAGATTCAGGACCTAACACATCTGGAATGGATCAACCATCAAAAATTCCTGGGATTTTTCGACTACAGGGATTCAATCCCGGACCTCTGGAGCGGTAAGCTGAAACTCGGTCATCCAATTGAAAATTTGATGATTTGTGTTGACATACGAAAATAAAACAAACGAGCAATTATTTATGGTAATGTCGCAATGCCAGATGGTAATTTTTAATCATAATCTTAATTTATTTAATTTAAAATATATGCTCTCTATTTGAAATTAGTAGTGTGCTCTGTACGTCATACTATATCAGACGAATGACAATTATTTTCGGTTTTTTTCTATTAAAAACTTCAATAAACTGATATTACCTTTGACCTACTTAATTACATATAAAGATACAATATGTAATATAAGGAAAATGTAATTATATGCGACGGTGGTATAGTGGTTAGCATAGCTGCCTTCCAAGCAGTTGACCCGGGTTCGATTCCCGGCCGTCGCAGTTGTTTTTTTAATACGAAAATGTTTTACACGTATCACAAGAATATTTTTAGTATTTGTTCTTCAAACTCAAATGAAAATTTTAGCCTTTTAGAACCTTTGTCCATAAGATGTTACCATTTAGAAAACCTTTTCAACTTTTAAAACAGCTAAAATGTGAAGCAATTAATTAAAGGTCGAGAGGTTGAGGAGATAAAGAGAGTCGGATTTAGTGACGATTTTACTCATTATTAACATTTACAATTTTTTTTTAATAAAAGCCATCCCTATCCTCAAAATTAAGCTTTTTGCCATTTTAAAATAGTTAAAAATATAAAGTTTTTCAAACAAAATATCATAACAAAGGGCGTCACTGAATGTGGCTAGGAACCTAAGTTTATAAACACAAGGTCAAGACACCATACCGTGATGATTGCGGCAATCGCCATTTTGAGTCTTTTTCGATGTGTACGGTGTTTCTAGAGCCAAGCTGATTGTTTGTTTTTTTTCGATCTCAATTAGTTGGATTTCTTTTAATATGTATATTTTTATATGCAGCAAATAGCATTGTTTGTATCAAAATATGAATTTCTAAAAGCAATAATAATTATAAAATAGTTACAAATTTCAGTCAAATTTTTCTTATTGCATATATTCGAGCAATCTTGTATGGCTATTGTTTCTGCTAAAGAAAAACGTCAACTAGAAGAGGAAAATTATTTCTGTAGTCTTCTAAGCAAGTAATCATTTATTAATTCTTAAACCATCACCCTTGTCGTTTTATCAGATGGAAAACGAAACAATCTTATACCTTTGTCTTTCGAAGTTTTTACAATTCGGTGCTAAATAATAAACCATTTATATATATAACAAGAAATCCCACTAATTGAGACCGAAAGAAACAATCAGCTTCGCTCTAGAAACACCGTACACACCGAAAAAGACTCAAAATGGCGACTGCCGCGATCATCACGTATCGTGTCTTGACTTTATGCATATGTTAACAGTTATATTCTTTAATTGTTTTTAGTGTTATTTCTCATTTACGTGTATAGTCTTATTTTTTACTTATTTACCCTTAAAGTCATAAAATTACAACTTTCACATAAAGAAAAGAAAAAAAAGAAAACGTTGTTCAAGCATTTTCTATAAAGAGCGGTTAACCAAGAGGGAGGAAAATAGTACTGTACTGTATTTCTTCGCAAATACAAGTGGCGCCATCTGTTATCACTAAACGATTTTATATAAAAATAAAATATTTAAGCTGCGAAAATAACTTTAAAAATGGTATATTTTGTGCTTTATAAATCTCTCAAAGTACCGTATATTTGGCGCAGAAGTTTTATTATTTTATAACACAGCATATTTTAATCAACAGGGTCGTGCAAAGATATTGGAGGGCTATTGCGAAGAGGGCTCTTTTGCTCCTTTTCCTATGTCTAGACAAAGATAAACAAATAAATACATATATAGATTATTCTAAATTAATGATTGCATCGTACAGTCATTTTATTTTTATTTTGTTACCTGTTTTAATTTTTTTCTTTTAATATACTTTTCGTTCTGAGGCTATGGTTCAGGGTACTTAATTAATGTATTCACATTTACACAGTCTTATATAATGTTAAATACAGAAAATTTATTATAATGTGTAAGTTGTCAGGATGGCCGAGCGGTCTAAGGCGCTGCGTTCAGGTCGCAGTCCAGTTCTCTGGGCGTGGGTTCGAATCCCACTCCTGACACTCATTTTTTAGCTTAATCTCAAGGAAAAATGTTTATAAAAAAAAGTGTTTTCAATAAAATTTAGACAGAAAATTCTGTATACAAGTGTACTAAAAGTGCTATTTAATCTGTAATAATGTAAACTCCACGTAATAAACACAATTTTTATTACAACGCACATTTGTTGCTGAATATATAAAAATCAAATATATAAAAAACGAACACGTGTTTTATTAATCTGATAAAATAAAACTTATATACAATCTCCTAATATAGGAGAAATATATCAATATCTACAAATCTGGAGATGATAATTCTTCATCTGTGGATGTTTCTTCGTATAAAGATATAGAATCGTCGCTCTTTATCTCGTATAATTCTGTTAAAATCGTTTCCAAGTTGGTTAATAAATGTTTAGCATTATCTATGCTAAATACCATAGGGGGTTTGAATTTTAATACGTTTTCATATATTCCATCTGTACTCATTATTATCAATTCTTCCTTTAGTCTAAAGATAAAGAAATATATTTTAAAAAAAAAGGGAAACTTTGCATAAACAGAATGTTTATGTGTTTATAAAGAAGAAAAAGCATACCTAGAGATAACATATTTCGCTTCATCAGTTGCTGGCTCCTTTGTTTTCTTATCTTTAACTAATTCAATCCCGATAAACAAACCTTCTCCTCTAAAAAACAAGTATAAAAGTAATCATTTTTAGACTTTTTTTAGACTTTAAAATTGCAAAGTAATAGAAAACTATATACATACCTGACGTCACCAATTATAGATTGCCTTTTCATCATGTCCTTGAAAGATTTTAATAAATAATTTCCGACATTTGTAGCATGACTCATTAAAGATTCGTTTTCAATAACGTCTAGTACAGCATTAGCTACAGCTAAAGAAACGGGATTACCACCGTACTGTAAAGTACACAATAAAAAAAAAATGGTAGTTTAATATATGTTAAAACTATTTAAAATTTCCTTTAAAAAGTAAAAAAAAAAAATGAATTTAAAAATCTTACAGTATTAAAATATCCAACTCCTATTTCTTCGAAGCTTTTAGCTATTTCTGGTGTCGTAACAACAGCAGCTACGGGATGACCGTTACCAATTGGTTTACCAAGAGTTACGATATCAGGAACGATGTCTAGATGTAAGGATTAAAAAAAAAGAAAATTATATAAATAAATTAAAAATAAATTTTAAAATATTAACTAAAAAACTAATATTTACCCGATCCTTGTAATTCAAATGCCCACATTGATTTCCCAACTCTTCCAAATCCGGTCTGTACTTCATCAGCAATACAAATACCTCCAGCTTCTCTTACATATCTAAAAGTTATGAATCATTGCTGATAAGATTAAAAGATAACAAAACAGACAAACAGTTTTATTAAAAAAAAAAAAATAATAATAATAATAACCTATAAACATTTCTTAGATAATTCTTAGGAAGAATGACTTGTCCTCCGCAACTGATCATAGATTCTGCAATAAATGCTGCAATATTTCTACCTCTGTTATGCACTTGATTAATGAGATCTCTTATATCGTTGGCATACAATTTTCCTATTTCCTCTTCCGAATATTCATTTTTAGTATATTTTCCACGATAAGAACAAGGTAAGTCAGCCTGTAAATTTTTTATAATTAGTTTTTTCTCTATTCCCCCTTACAATTACATATTGCTGCATAATCTGAGGAACAATACCACTTACCACATGAACCCATTTTTTATGTCCTCCACTGATTTTCTTAAACTTGTATGGACTTAAATCGGTCGTTGACGTTAAATGTCCATGGTAGGCGCTACAAAAAAAATAAAAATTAGTACTAAATTAAATTTATATAACGCCAAAAAAGAGGAGATAACTTACTCATCGATTACAATAACGTCTTTGTGTTTTGTGTAATTCCTGGCTAATCTTAATGCTAAGTCGTTGGCTTCGGATCTAAAATGGCAACATAAATTAATATTTAAATATTCTTTATAATCATTTTAAATTACCAAAAACTTACCCAGAATTAACGAAGAAACAGACTGAAAGTTTATTAGGAAAATAACTTGTTAAACGTCGGGCATATTCGACAATATTATCGTGAAGATATCGGTTATTAGTGTATAATAAACTCATCTGTTCGGCTCCCTTCTGTACGACGTGAGAGTGACAATGGCCAACTGTAAATGAATTGAATTTAATAAAAGAAAAAGAAATTTATAATATTTAAACTGAGTTTTAAGATATTTTTAGATGAGTCAACATTTCATACTGTCAACTAGAAGACGTCTAATAATAGGATTTGGCAATAGTTCCTATATACAGAAAGGTTTTTGTCTTATAAAATATATTATTAGAATTTAAAATAAAATTTTTCTAACTCACCGTGAGCAACATTATTTATGCAATCTAGATATTGTCTGCCAAATTCGTCATACATATATTGCCCTTCTCCTCTTACTATTTTAAGAGGATCTGACTTAAAAAATAACGTACATGACCCACTAAAAATAGAAAATAAATTTAAAAAAAATAAATATAAAATTAAGAATTAAAGAATAAAATATAAGTTTAAAACTTTATACTCTGCTCTGAACTTTATTTATTGATCAAGTTTCTAATATATGAATCCCTGGCAACAATATGCAGCGCAATACATGAAACACATGAACAAAACAGGTTTAGTTCATATGTATTCAATGTATTAAATATATATTTTCATTAATAAAATAAATATATTATAAGATACCTTACCCAATATAATGTTTTCTTAGTTTAATAGTTTCTTCCTTAGTAAATTTTTCTAAAGGACCTTTCTCCATTGTTCTTTTCGGTCTCCATCTCAAATACTAATATTTATAGTATAAGTCTAATATGACCTAAATGCTGATTGGTTAGATGATAGCGAGTTTATATTATATTAACCAATAGGATAGACGAATTTAATTACCGTTACGGGTGGGTCTAACACACCTCTTGTAATACTATTTTACTAATTATATATCAATAATTAATTGTTAATTTAAAAAAAAATAATAATTATTATTATTTTAAATTAATTTTTTATATATAAATCTAGAAAAAAGAATTTAATTTTAGGAATTATTACAACATTTATAAGAGGAAATATTGCAATAATAATAATTATTCAATTTCTAGTGTATTAATTTCCTATATACAAAAGAATCATATTTTTAAATATTTATTTTACATTTTATAAATTAATAAATTATATTTTTACTGTTTTTATACGTTAATTTCTTTACATAAAATAGACTCTGTATATTGTATTTAACAACGCTTATGTGTGATTTTTAACTGTAGATATTCTTTTATATTGTTTCAAGTATCTTAAATAGAATAATCAGATGAATAACATATCTTTTTTATCATTTATCTAAGAGATTGCGATGTTGTTTATCTGTAATGGTAAGGAGCAGTCACGTGTATCACATACACCGGGGTGTGTTGGATACACGCACTTTGCACGTGAACAGTTTGGCTAATCAAAACTGTTCGAGAGTCGGGTGTGTTATTGCGATGACATTGCAGTGACCCCAGTGTCAGCTGTATCAAGGTTTCACGTGATTCCCGAGTGACTATGTCACTTGTTGCTATTGAAGAATTTTTAATGAGTGCTTAACGATACAATTCAAATTTCATACGAAAATAAAAGGAAATAGAATTATTAAGTGATTTTTCTTATCTTAATTTATACTTTATATATTATAATTTTAATAGGGGGGGTTGACTGTATATTGTTATAGATACAGAGAAGAGAATGGTAACAGATATCGACGGAAAGTTTCCTTTGATAAAAATTTTATTACATAGAAAACAGATTACACGATGAACATTTTGACATATATTTACAATGAATTAAGGAAGAGAAATTAAGGTTAGTTATTCAGCCTATTATCGGTATAATAATGTAATCTATTGAATTTCAGATACAATTTCGGTTGAAGACATCTAATGACAGATCGCATTGAATTACAGTTTGCATAACCGAAGCAATTTATTTAATAATTTCCTATTTCTAATTTGTTCCGGCTTATTAGGACATTCGTACAAACTTATATTTCTAAACATAATGCAAGGCACGATTAAGATCGACACAGAAATAATCTTCGCAGGTCCTTGACTAATTTTGCTTCCATCATAATGAAGAGTTAGTTAATATGTTTGTATTCATGACACTATTCTTGATCCCTCGATTTCATTGTTATTTTATTATTAATTATAGCGGAAATAAACAATTCAATGTCAAAGATATACAAAGCAAAAATTATTTTCATTTTACATGTCAAGATTAAAATATATTTGCTTTTCCTTCCGCCGATAACATGAAAGGAGAAAACAGTATCAAGCAGTGGAAAAAAAAAAAATAATGATACGGACGGAGTTCCTTTTCAATAGTCGCAATCACAAAGTGTACAGAAGAATAGCCATTATTATGGCTTCTCCTGTTTAATTTAACATTCTCTATTCCAGTGGCGCGTCATCCCATAGACAAAGGCAATTGTCTGAGGTCACCAAACCAATCTTTTATAAGAAAATTTCTCCCAAAATATTCTTCCTAAGAAAAATGTCTGAAATCAAAACTGTACGTGGGGTCACCTAATTCAAATTCGCCTGGACCCCATGGAACTATAACGCGCCACTGCTCCATTCCAATGATTAGTACTGTACTGTACGTAAAAAAACAAAATTTTGGTACAAATGTAGCTGTTTTTTTCCTTTTTGCAGCTGAAAGAAAAACAAAAATACTTTATTTTTGTTTAAAATTATCTTAAGACGTACAAAAATAACTCTGCTCTATATTAATAACACGAAATGTCATTGTATGTCACCAGTACTAGAATAAAAAAAAAACAAAGAGTGATATATAATAAACTTTATTTATATTCGGCAATAGACACACGTTGAAATTACAATTTTAAAAGTGCAAACTATCCTAGTAAAACTTCATTTAGCGGACTAACAGACCCAGTGACAGATTAAGACCTTCCGTGACTCCTACACACAGAAGATTGGGCACTTATATATAATTTTATCACATCTTAAATTAATAACGTGTAATTTTAACTTTAGAATTATTTATAAATTATTATATACAATTAAAACTGTGAAATTGTTCCTAGTGTCTGGGCCCCTCACGTAATCAATGGACAATCGGGCATTGATAAGACCTTGTATTACTTTCTAATACAGTGGGTCACACCATATTAACTAAAAATGGATTTGGACTTTTTTTGTTTTTTTTACCAAATTTTCAAATACCATCGGCTGCCTATTGCTCTGAACAATAAGAAATCGAATCCGGGCGAACAACTCCAGGAATTTTTCATGGGCAATGGGTCTTTGGGGCCGACATTATTCGGGATTATTGAATAATGTCGGCCTCCGTCCCTCACCATTCGGAAGTCCCTATTGTGGATCTATCCGAACACACGATGGGGCTGAAAAAAGTCCTCTTATTGCCCACAGCGCGGAAAGAGATAAGAAATATTTCACAATTTTAATTAATCTATGAAAAAATATTTTGTTATTGCAATGTATCTACACTTATTACGCAATGATTTATTCATATATTGTTTTAATTTAACCTTCATATTTATTTACTTTCTCACATTGAAAATTGTATTAAAACTTTATACAAGTAGACCCCCCTATAACACTGTAGATAATTCCGTGTTATATGAATTCCATGTTGTACAAGTCACTTAGATTTTACAAATACGTGAGCCGTTCACAGCCAGGCACACGTATTTGTAAAATCTAAGTGACTCGTACAACATGGAATTTATATAAAACGGAATTATGAACAATGTTATAGGGGCAGTGGCGTAGCGAACATAACTGGCGCCCGGGGCACGACACTTTATTGGCGCCCCTCCCCCTCCAGAAACAAATCTTGTTTGTCTTTGAGACCATTTTGCGCCCCTCTGCGAATGGCGCCCGAGGCATGATAAACTCCCTTGCCCTCCCTCGCTACGTTAGTGAGGGGTAATGAAGTTCAACGAAAATTAAATGAAACAGAAAACACTGTGCCTATTAAAGACAAAGAGTAAACATTTTAAAATGCAGATTTCAATGCTGATACCATTGTTCCAATTGACAAGATTTTCTCATTTCCTGACTCATCAAAGAAGAGATAAATAGAACAAAAGAAACAACATTCTGAAGTTCTTACAGGAACACCCATGAAATGTTTGTATAGGGAAAAGAAATAAGAAGAAAGAGCAGAAAAATTCAAAATTTCCTGTAAGAAGAACCGAATTAGAATAAAAGGAGAATGGTATTTAATGAGGAATCAACAGATGAGGAGGATTATAATGAGAAAGATCTTTGTGATGATAAGGAAGACGATGATATAGATGCAAGCAATGTGAAATTTCTTATGGATACTACGATTATAAAAGCTGCAGATGAATTGATATCGTTTTGATATTGTTAAAAACAGTTATTTAATTATCTATGATAAGCTTATCAGTTAATATTATATTGATATACGTTTCTTCATAGTATTTTTTTGCAATTTCTCAATTGTTTCTTGTGTTTCCGTATTTAAATACTATGCTACGAATCAATAGGATATTCGTGCTAAAATTTTATTCGCAAATTAATTCCTGCTTACCTGTAATTAATATTTTAGTAGAGAATTATTCATAATAGAATTAAATTACTGTGTAATATTATCTAATATATACTGTTAATTAATTTAATCCTTATTGTTTGCATATTTAACTCACAATAAAAATTTGAGACTTTTAAAAGATTAATTTTATAACTAATAAAATTCCATTTCTTTAATAAATTATTGTATAATATGAATTGATTGAATGTAAATTTTTACATTGAAACACAAAGAAAGCTTCTTCAATGGTATTATTATTATGGTGATAAAAGAAAAAATAAAAATATAACACTGTTGATTATTCCGTTTTATATGAATTCCATGTTGTACGAGTCACTTAGATTTTACAAATACATGTGCCGGGTTGTGAACGGCTTATGTATTTGTAAAATCTAAGTGACTCGTACAACATGGAATTCATATAAAACGGAATNGCCCCGAGATCGTCGACTCCTGAAGTAATATCGAAGGACCTTCCTCTTAGGACTTTCGTCATCTGAGAAAAGGGAACCTGAAGATTAGACCTCCACCGACAGATAAAAGTATATTATTGTTGTAAGATATATTTTGTAAGTTAAAATAAACCGGGCCATCATAATGGCGGCCATTTTGAATGCAACTCCCGAAACTATAAATGGGAAGGGAATCATATGACACATCATTTACGGTCAGAACCTCACAAGGAATTGATTGCTGAAAGATTTATTCTTCTACCTCGAACAATTACAAAGTTATTATGTTTGCTTTGTTGTTACAGGTTGAAAAACAGACAACATAATGCCTCTAACACAGGACGAACGCATCGAAATCGTTCTGATGGCAGGGGAGAAGAGTTCCAGGGTGATTACATAGGCCCGGACGTAAGTGTGACACAGGTTCTCGGTGTGGATGACATTGATTAAAATCCTGAGTAAACATCGAATATAAAAATTTCAGTGACTTTCTTTCCCATGCTTTATACATCACGAAATGTAGAACAATTTTTTTACTGCTCACTTCTCTGGCCGACAATTAATAATTTAGCGCTCTTACGGTGAAAAACAAAACATTCTGTATCGTTTTCGATCAGAATTAGTGTAATTTGGTGCAATACAACCTGACATGTTAAATTATTAATGGCGCGAATCGTGGCAAAGTATGTAAAATATACGGCAACGGTATCGTCACTATAATTACGTCCTTCAAATTATTATTATTCTGGGATAAGTTATCGATAAATATGATTTAAAATAACGATAAAATTACTTATAAAATCTAATCTTTGCTGTTGATTTAGAATCGGAGAACGTTTAACGAAGTATAAAGTAAAGAAAAAATCCCCGTAAAACTACGTACGAATAAATTACACAAGTGCTTTGATATAATATTGTAATTAAAATTTATAGTCTGAGTGCAAACGTGCTTAAAATAAGACAAAATAAGACAAAATAATTCCAATTATTAATACTTCTTTTTATAAATTTGTGAATAAAATAGTCATATAATCGTATTTATAAATAGTTATTTTATATACAGTGGGAAAATCTTTCTAACATAACAGTACAAGTCGACCCCCCCCCCTATAACACTGTTGATTATTCCGTTTTATATGAATTCCATGTTGTACGAGTCACTTAGATTTTACAAATAAGTGTGCCGGGTTGTGAACGGCTCACGTATTTATAAAATCTAAGTGAATCGTACAACATGGAATTCATATAAAACGAAATAATCAACAGCGTTATAGGGGGTCGACTGTATTCAATTATCGCTCTCGTGAATCATAAAACATTCTGTTTTTAATTAAAATTTAGCAGACAAATTAAAAAATAAGAATAATAACTAATAAATAAGACCTTTTTCTTCATCGATAAATAAGTTTCAATATGTGTTTATCTGTTTTTAATAACACTGTTTGGTTAGTAAGAAAACACTCTTAAGTGAAAAAATATGTGGAATTTCTCATAATTAAATAAAATAATTTACAAAATACGACTGTTTTATTATCTTTAAAAATAAAAAATAATAAATTTTAATTTTAAATTTTAAATCGTCAAAAAACTATGTCAAGGAATAGACTAAAGTGCAAAGATCTTTAATATTTTATTAAGGTTTTTTTTTTTTAAAATAAAATGTTGAATATATTAAATTTTCTTTTATATTCTTACTCATCTTGTTTTGTCTGATAAAAATTGTTTATGGGAATTTTAGAGTTCAAGTAAAAACATAACTTGGATTTATCTAATAAAGTATACGAGATGAGTTCAGATTGTCTTGACACTCGTTTATATCGATTGGTGTTGAATGATTTCCGATATTATCCGTTGCTAAGGTGTTAAATATCGTGATAAGTGTAACCAGTACACACTTGTGTCGCCATCTGACAAAGGAACAATACGTGAATCATCAATAAAATATAGAATGCATAGAAATTCCTAAACAATCCCTAATCGTTACAAAGCAAAAATTTTTTTTTGCAGAAAATTCGCTTATTTTTCGTATAAAAATTCTGTATTTATTTCTGTCATTATAATTATTATTATTTTTTTTTAAATAATTAATACTGATGTTCCGTCTAATAAATGGTGTTCCAAGTCCCATAAAGATTGAGAACCATTTCCCTAATGTTTCCGGACTTTTGTGTAGTGTTTGTAAAGAAAACTATGGAAGAAATATCGATAATTACATTATGCAATCGCTACAGGTGTGTTATTTCGCGGTCGAATTCTGAGAATTATATTATTATTATTTTATCACGTCTCATCTACAATTCTTATGAACTGTTGCAGGAAGGTTTTTCTTTTTACTGTATTAGGTGAATTGATACTATTAAATTTTGGTGATTAATTAAAGGTCTAAGGATGGGAAGGTAAAGAGGGTCGTGTGTACCTCCAGTAGGAATAGACTTTTAATGAAGATTTTATTAATAGTTTTAGGTTTATACAATGGGATGATGATCTACGGATGTTAAAGATAAGGTAAATGAGGATGAGATGGTAAACCGGTTGAATTTTCTCCTTAATTATAATGTTCGAAAAATAGAGATCACGCCTACAGCATAAAAGATGAAGAAAATTGCATCGAACTTCAGAGAAATCATGCAATTTATTTCCTTAACAATAGAATCGTGCCGGACACCTTTAAGGGGAAAATTTTCGATTGAAATAACGTGACTTCTGGGTTTATATCAGAAGTTCTTATATAGTTAATCGGGTCCTCCTCTCCCTAAGCTTTCCATATCTGGTCTCGATTTTCAATTATATTACTCAGTTCTGGAGATTAAGGAAAGACAGACGGACGGACATTATGCTATTTCAAATTGCAGCCCAAACATCTATAGCAAGTCACAGCGACGAACACATATCATCACTCAATAATTGATTAAATTGGAAGAAGATAAACCTTCCAATTTATGGTTCCTTCATTATATAACATATTAAATATAGAACATTTTAATTATGTATAGAAATCATCCATTTATTACACATCACAAATTGCTTCAATTTTAGACTTCCCATTTAGTTTTTCTTAACCACGATGTATGAGAACCAATAAGCACGTATTTGTAAGGATTCTTATGATATTAGAAAGCAACTATTTAAAATTGTTCTTTTAAATCCCGTGTAAAAGAGAAAAATCTTACAAGTATTCTTAGCAGTATATCGATCAATCTTCATTGATCGATCAAAATTACCAACTGGCCAACATGGTCGTAGCCTCTTTTCAGTAATTTAAGAGTGTGGGCTATGGTAAAGACCAATAAATCCAAGAAGTTCTAATACAATATGACAAGAGGTTAAATCTGTATGCTGTTTAAAAGATTATCTTGTGAGGCTTTAGAAGTGAACCGGAACCACACGAAAATGTAAGAGGAATTTATAAAATTATAACATTAAAATAAAGAAAATTTATGATCATATAAAGAAATGTTAAATGTAACAAAAGAAACAAAAGAAAGTATTGTAACAATAGAGTAATAAAGTCCCATGACCGACAATCTTCGATAGGGATCGAATTGACAAACGATGTTGACTCATCCCGCGATCTAAGTTCCGATCTCGTTACACTTAGTAACTAGTGAAGATCAATTAGAAAGCTAAGGTGAGTCGGATCGATCCATCGAGATGTTCGATCTGGGACCCGAAAAGGTTATAAAATCGGAATTCCAAGAACACAGAGGGCTTCTCTCTTGTACTTCTGAATGTGCCACCTCTTCCTCAAAAGGATTATTTTCATTCCTTAAATTAATTAACTCGAAATCGGAATAAGCATTTCCTCTTCTAACATCCTATAACAACGCCCCGAGATCGTCGACTCCTGAAGTAATATCGAAGGACCTTCCTCTTAGGACTTTCGTCATCTGAGAAAAGGGAACCTGAAGATTAGACCTCCACCGACAGATAAAAGTATATTATTGTTGTAAGATATATTTTGTAAGTTAAAATAAACCGGGCCATCATAATGGCGGCCATTTTGAATGCAACTCCCGAAACTATAAATGGGAAGGGAATCATATGACACATCATTTACGGTCAGAACCTCACAAAGAATTGATTGCTGAAAGATTTATTCTTCTACCTCGAACAATTACAAAGTTATTATGTTTGCTTTGTTGTTACAGGTTGAAAAACAGACAACATAATGCCTCTAACACAGGACGAACGCATCGAAATCGTTCTGATGGCAGGGGAGAAGAGTTCCAGGGTGATTACATAGGCCCGGACGTAAGTGTGACACAGGTTCTCGGTGTGGATGACATTGATTAAAATCCTGAGTAAACATCGAATATAAAAATTTCAGTGACTTTCTTTCCCATGCTTTATACATCACGAAATGTAGAACAATTTTTTTACTGCTCACTTCTCTGGCCGACAATTAATAATTTAGCGCTCTTACGGTGAAAAACAAAACATTCTGTATCGTTTTCGATCAGAATTAGTGTAATTTAGTGCAATACAACCTGACATGTTAAATTATTAATGGCGCGAATCGTGGCAAAGTATGTAAAATATACGGCAACGGTATCGTCACTATACTGTAGCACAAAATGGCGGATGCGCATACTTGCGCAGATGTGTCCTATTTTATAAAACGAAGTCATCGTCATGTGACGATATTACTTGTACGTTGTACTTTGTTATGAAGTACTTGGTCATGAAAACTGTGTATTTTTTTCATTAATAAATGTAAGTAAATTAACAAAACGACAATAAAAATGTGATTTTGTAACATAAAAGTCATCAGATGGCGACACTTAACAGAATCAGATGTCGCCATCTGGTGGTGATTTTTGATTCAAATTTTTATATTCGATGTTTACAAATATAGCCTATATATACAGTATTTCCTATAAGATTATAAATATTAAGTTATTTTTACATATTTTTCTTTCTAATTAAAAAAGTGTATATTAATTATAAATTTTAATGGATTAAGTTGTGTTTAACAAAAGTAGGACAAATAGTGCATTAACCCCTTGAGCAACTATATAAAATTTTCAAGGACCAAAAAAAAAAAAAAATAGAATTATAAATATTTATAAATGAATTTATAAAAGTAATACTTTTATCATCTATTTTTAACAATTTCAAATTCATTTTTTTTATCTTTATAAATAAGAGCTTACTTTAAATTTTAATTTTGTAAAAAAGCAAATTTTTCTATGTAAAATATGCATTTAAATTGAAGCAGACATATTCATCACTCCATCAATTCGTAGATGCACGAGAGATGACGTCACAGCTTTTCCAACTGTCATAGAACGAGCTACTACGTCAGCAGACTCGCAAATTTCCATTATTGGTGAAGTTCCAAGTACAGTAAAACTCCGATTAACCGGACGGCCCGAGATTTCACTTAATTCGGATAATTGGAGTTTTACTGAATTTACATCTGAATTTACATCTGTAAAACGTGAACGTCGAACGTCGAGCGCCGCTTACTTGTAGGCGGCGCTCGACGTTCACGTCTTACAGATGATAAACTTCGGCCGCAACCTCGCTAATCTCTGATTGTGTGTACTATGGCTTTCTGTATAATACCTCACATTATCACGAATACTCTTAATTACTACACCCTTAATTTAGCTTTCTTAGTGTTTAAAAATTACAGATTATTTTTATAATAAATAATATTTTTTTCTGTTTTTTTTTTTACATTTAAGGAAGTTTGCCAATCGATGTAACACACATAAAAACAATACGTGACACATTACCACGGGGTTATTTTCACGTATCGACAGGAGAAGGAAACAGGAAGTGCAAAATCCAAGTTAGTGTGACGTATATATCTACAGAAAAAGAATTATAAATAAACTTACAAATATAAATTTTATTATATTAATTCAAAGTTTACTATTATTATTATTATTATTAACACTAAAATATTATTTCCAAATCTCATTAAGGAAAAGATATGCGGCTAGATATCTGCTTAAGTACATTAAAGTACAGTACATATTACTTCCTGAATGACATTAGAAGTGTTTCGGTTTCTCCTCGGCATGTCATTAAAGGAAATTATTCCATTAATTCTGCGTTTATCAATCGTGTGCCAATCGATAAACGTGTAAAATTTGCCTTTATCATCGAATATCTCTCCATTGATCACAATAATAAAGACATACAAAACAGCATAACCAACACACCAATTCATAGATACGTTTATAATAAAAAAAACTATAAGGAAAAAGGATGGTAATTGTTAAATTTAAAATTATAAAATTGAAAACTATATTAATTTAAATAATAACAAAAATGTAATTTTACTAAACGAAAATTAAATAAAAAAACATTTTTAGTTTGTCAAATCAAAAAGAGATGGCGACACTATATAATATCCAAATAATCGAAGATGATTTTTACCACAATCCTCATCATAATTATAAAGAAAATAATAATTAAAATTTATGATTTTTTAATATTAAAAGTAATTTATTTTTTATTTTATTTCTTAGGTATTTTTTATGTTTTAGAAATAAAAATCTTATTTGTCTACTGCTTGAACCGACCCCTGGCGGGAAGTTATTTAAGATCCATAGATATCTTAAAATAATTATATAATTAATTCAAAAATATAAACAATAAACGTCGGGAAATTTAATAAAAAAATCGTTAAATTTAATTTAAATTATTACTAACCACTTTTATTATTTTTCCGGCACTCTTAAAATTAAGTTTATACACAGTTTTAAATGTTGCCTGGAAAGTTAAGCAACTCGTTGCTGACTTTTTAAACTTGCTTTTGTATTGTGCCTTTAAATCTTGTAACTTAAATTTCATCCACTTCTAATTAAAATAGACGGCTGAAACTTGGAGGATATACCAAAATCTGATGACAATACATTTTGATAGTGTTGTAGAGAGTACCGCTATCCTCGCCATCTCTCCAAAACACGATAAACATATAGAATTTAATCATGTTTATAAATATTCTGTAGAAATAGAGGTGAGACCACCCCATTACTTACGCGTGAGATCAGCGAAGAATTAGAAGAAATGTTCTGCTGTTAGAACTAGTATAGATCTTTAAGCTGGGTAAGCCGCAACGTTTATAGAAGTTTCAAAGAATTGGTACACATCAGCATATCCTCCTCACAAAAGTTGAGTGTGTGTCTATGCGTACGCCGCAACAGTCGGCATTATAGTAAATACCTCTTTCTCCCTTCGGTTGGCCGGCGGTAAAAAGATGAAAGATAAATTAAATTTTAAAAAAGAGCCTATTGAAAATTCTAAAAATATATTTTATATTTTTGCTACACACCCGAGGCACTCTCGCGACACACCATTGGAAAACACTGTAGCAGAGAATGACTAGAAAAATTCATGAAACGTAGATACGGTAGTAATATTGTTGTGTAGTAGTAGTAGTAGTGTGTGCTTTTCTAGTAAATAAAAAAAGAAATGTTCTTGTGAATTACAAGCAGTTTTTATTACTTGGGAGGGGAAACCATGAAGCGCAGTGTGGAAAGAAGGTTGAACTATATTTCTCTCTCTTTTTTTATTATTATTAATGGTTTGAATGCGAAATTCTTTGAGATTGAACCGGGTACTGTACCAAGAGATAAAATGCCTCTATGTATGTAATAAAAACAATCCAGCAACGGGTTACTTACCTTTCTCAACTGCGTGTGTGGCGCCATTTTGTTATGATATTTTATTATTAAAAACTTTTTATATTTTTAATTATTATAAAATGGACAGAAAACCTTAATTTTGAGGGTAGGGATGAGTTTTATAATAAAATTGTAAATGCTAATAACGAGTAAAATCGCCATTAAGTCCGATCCTACTCGAGATATGACACGACCACTTTATCTCCCCATCCCAATGACCTTTAACCATGAAAATTTAATAGCGAGTTGGGTTAGAGTTAATGACGATTTTACTCGTTATTAGCATTTGCAATTATTTTTTTCTTACGAAACCCAGCCCTACTTTCAGAATTAAGCCTTTTGCAATTTTATAATCGTTAGACTTTAGACTCAGTGCCAGATTAATCAATAGACAAATAAGATAAATGTCTAGGGCCCGTAATTTGGAGGAGTCCGACTTTGGGCATTATATGTACAGTGGGTAATCAGTTAACGAACAGATCGGTTAACGAACAAATCGGTTAACGAACAAATCGGATAACGAACACTTTCGAGAAAGATTTTTATGTTCGGACAACGAACATATGATCGGATACCGAACACCTCACACAGTGGCGGCCTTAGGGGGTGGCGAGCAGGGCAATCGCCCGGGGCCTCGCTCTTGGAGGGGCCTCGCGCAACAACCAAGTAGAAAAAAGTTGATATTTAAAACTTTTTATTTTATCCTTGGCTATTAGTTATAACAATAAAATAAATTTAATTTATAGTACAGTATATATTAATATTAATAAGTGCCTACTATTTCAATTCACATACTTTGCACAAAGGACAAGGGCCTCGCAAAGATCTGCCGCCCAGAGCCTCGCAATGGATAAGGCCGCCGCTGACCTCACAGAATAAATACAAGAAGAAGCGATGTAAAATAATGAATACCGATTGATTTTCTCTTGTTTTCAGGTAACAATTCGAAACATTTCGGAGTGCGGGAGGCGTCGACATCGACGCTTAAGCAGGTTTATACCGATCGGATAGTATTCCTCCGAACTTTGAAACTCTCCCTTGTAATTCCAGCCTTTTATTTTTCTGACAAAACAATTCTTTTATGTATTCACGAGACTGTCGGGTAGGCACTCGTTAAGTTTTGGGTCTGTTTTTCTTTTCGAAAGGTGAGAGTATAATAACAAAGATAGAGAGTGGGCAGAAGATGCCTAATGTTGCTAGGCAGTATGGCGCGAACAGGTGTACAGTAGGCCGAAATTCAATCTTACTGTATTTAAGAAAAATACAGTATAATCAAGAAAACTCAAGCAGCTAAAGGAGTAACAAAAATCACATCTGAGAAATAAATAACATCGAAAAGTTCGTAATGGAACCTGAAAAGGATCTGACGACAGAAGAACGCCAAGAACTCTCGAATGAAGAACACCAAGAAACTCGGCGAGATATGTTTTCTTTTGAAAAAGAGGATTAATGCCGATATCCGCTATTAAAGATCTTTTGAAGAATTATGAGGATGACAGAACAACGGTCTTAGAAATGGCATTAAAACCAGGTTGAGGCTTGGGGATTTCTACAACTGCAATGATATTAATTTAATTACGAAAAATCCTGAAGAAGAGAGAAAAGCAATCGACATTAGACAGATTCTTTAACCCCTTCAAACGGAAAAATCATGACTATTAAAAATGCAAGACTATGTATGTACGTATTTTTCAGGGCTGTAGAGTCGCGTAAAAATCTACCGACTCCAACTCCGACTCCAACTCCAACAGCCCTGGTATTTTTATTATTACATATAAATAAACGTAGTAAGAAAGTATATATTTTTCCAGAACGAATTAATTAAATTTCCATTAAAACCTATGGTAAATCGATAATCGGTTAACGAACAATTCGGATAGCGAACAAAGTCTTGGAACGGATTATGTTCATTAACCGATCACCCACTGTATTTTAAATATTGCTCAAGGATGTTCTAATGTTTAGCCAAATGATTACAGGTGCTACGACTTTAAGGCACAAAGTAAAATCTCAAAGCCTTCAGTCAATTGAATTCATACCTCTCGAGTCAGCACCATGTTTTACCTGTAAAAGAATAAGCAAAGGTTAACATAACTCCCTTGGTTCCTCTCTGTATACCAAAATTTAAAAATATTTTTAAATTTCATACGAAAATTCACGATGAATTTTATAAATATTTAATAATTTTAACTTTTAAATGTACGCAAAATTTAAAAATATTTACTTATTTTTTTGATAAAAGGGATTAAGATACAGACACATCAATGTTACCATGCGATGAATCCTCACGCGATTCCACGTCACGATTACATCATACGGAATTATCTCTAATATACAGTATAAATATTTTTCATAAAGAAGTGTATTGCTATATAAATATAAATATGTATAAACTGTATTCAATTTTGTGAAAAATATAATTTAATTACGTAAATAATATATTTAAATTTGTATAAAAGAACTAAATTAATAAATATTTTATGCATTTATATATCAATAAACATTTCTTTTTCTTGTCTTTAATTAAAAATAACTTTTATACTATCAAACTCTCAATTTTATCAGAATATTTTAAGAATAAAATGTTCTATTTTAGTAATTATTAATTGATAATATTATTCCAAAGTCTACGATTATGATAATTTATAATCTTTAAAGATAATTTTGTTTAAATTATCTAATTAATATGTTAAAATTATATAAGTAATCGATAGATCAAAGTTTCAAAATGTTGTCACTATGAAACATCACCAGATATGCTTTGTTTTTGGATTGGATTGATAGAATAAGGCGATGCAACACACGAGCAATCTGACACCCGGAAGGATTTTCTATAGGAAACACGTGGAGAAAATCAAGTAAACTCCACGTGACCAGTCTGTTGACTAGAGGGAACTCACACAACCAATGAAGAATTGGTTTTTATTTAGGTATTAACACGTCAAGTTTATCAACGAGGAGCGAACCCACGACCAGTGTTTATAGGTTTTAATGAATAATAGATCACTAGATAGACATTTTGTTTTTTTTTTAATTAAAGATATTAGTGAAATTTCAATATATAGACACTTTAAAATTTAATTTTCTTGTGTGTTTTTTCAAATATTAGCAGTTGTCAGAAGTAATATGATGAGATGAATTATTAAACCCAATTGATTTAATGTTCAGTAT